CTGCTCCCACCTGCTGCTAGTGCCGGAGATGCCACTCACACCTCCTGCTGGTGATGGCCCCGCTTCCACCCGCTGATGGTGCCAGCCCCACTCGCACCTGCTGATGGGGCAGAGCGATTGGGGTTGGCACCAGCAGTGGTGCGAGTGGGGCCAGCACCATCAATTGGGTGCAAGTGGCAGCCGGTGCCCTGATTGCCCCTCAGGAGCAGGGGGAAGGCGCCAGCAGCGGGTGCGAGCAGTGGCTCTGGCACCGGCAGCAGGTGCAAGCGCCGGGCGGGACCACGGCATGCAAGAGCAAAGAATTTTCAGTAACCACCAGAGGCTTGCCGGATGACAGTGACTGGTGCCCCACCTTGGTCTGGTGCCCCCGCTCACCTAGTCCACCATCTATCCATGGCTGATGCCCGCCATGTGTTGCGTGTGTCCCCTGGTGGTCAGCACATGTCATAGCAACCAGTTGTTCGGTTGTTCCGCCGTTTGGTCTATTTGCATATTAGGGTTTTATATATCTATCCTATCTAATAATAGACAAACATGGTAATTGACCATACCTTCACTACACCTCCCATTGGCTAATCAGCAAGATATGCAAATTAACCCAACCAAGATGGCAACCGGCGGCCACGCAGCTGAAGCGAGCAGGAGGCTTGCTTGCTCCAGTAATGGAGGAAGCCAAGGTTCCCCGCCTTCCGTGGCCTGGCTCTGAGCTCCAAAAGCAACAAAGTTTCAATTATAGAAGCTAAACAAACCCAGATACCTGCTTTCAGCAGGCCGTGGCCTCAGAGCTGGAACAAGCAGGAGCCCGGCTCTCAGCTCTAGTGATGGCAACAAGGTTTCAATTATAGAAGGTAAATAAATCCCAGAATAAAAAAGAAAAAAAGGAGAGGCTGGGAGCTTCAGTCACGCGCCAGCCTGAAAACGGCCCTCAGTCCCTCACCCAGACTGGCCAGGCACCCCAGTGGGGACCCCCACCCTGAAGGGGGTGTGACCAGCTGCAAACAGCCATTGGCTCCTCACCCAAGCTGGCCAGGCATCCCAGCAGTACCCCCACATGGGGGAGTTCTGCTCAGCCACAAGCCAGGCTGATGGCTGCCAGTACAGGGGTGGTAGTGGGAGCCTTTCCTGCCTCCTCAGCAGCACTAAGGATGTCCGACTGCAGATTAGGTCTGTTTCCCACTGGCAAGTAGACATCCCCCGAGGGCTGCCAGGCTGCCAGAGGGATGTCTGATTAAACCATCTTAGGCCCAATCCCCTGGGGAGCAGACCTAAGCCAGCAGGTGGTCATCCCTTGAGGGGTCCCAGACTGCGAGAGGGCACAGGCCGGGCTGAGGAACCCCCCCCCCGAGTGCACA